GATTATATCGACTTCGGTCTCAATCTGTCCTCGGGTAACATCTTTGAATTCTTCTATGATAACATTTTCGGTTGTGAGTTTGTCAACCTCCATTTCGCAATCATTCTTCACATATCGAAGTCGATCATGAAGTTCTTTATTTTCCATTTCTATGGCGCTCACGACATGATCTCCAATACTCGAGGCTTTCTTCTAATTTTCTCTTTTTCTTTATCGATTTTGCCACTCGAGAGTGCAAATTATCATGATAAACTCATGTTGAGCATTTATCTCTTGACGAATATCTTCTATTGTTTCATTTATCAATCGAGACAAACCCTCAAATGGTGGCACTCGATACCCTTTACCCCTATTTTGTTGCCACTTCGGATATCCTAACGAAGTTCTTCCATCGACTCTCCTTTCTAGGGTAATAATCCCTCCGTTTCTCCAGGCAATCTTTGCTTCTCCTAATAGTTTTCTAGAAACCTTTAGGTCTTCGTAGTACTCGACTAAACCCGTAGTTCTTGGGATGAACTACTCAAAACCCAACTGTCTTAGGAACATGTTTGGATAAGTAACCGATACAACATCGAGCTCCAATTAACGGTACCCGAGGATGATCGCCACGAGTAAGCCAGTAAGATCGAAAGAAAGCATACTCGTTCCCTCCAATGGAATTTTGACTTTTCTAAGTCGAAAAACATTTCGACTGTGTCATTTTTTCTAACTCATTGAGTGAGTGTCTAGCAAAGTTCTCCAATTTGGAATGTAAATGCTATGGTGTGCGAAAGATTCTAAAGGTTTTTCTAGTCACTATATGGCTAACTGTCTAGACAAACAACAAGTGGAATGCAACATCTCAAATGTCCATCTCATTTCTTTCGACGTAAATTTAAGGACGAAAGTGTTACTACTAAGATTGCGAGTAGCAGGATTAACCTCGAGGGATACCACGCTTTTGAACACGTTGACCACCTCGAGGTCGATCATGCCCCGAGCTAATGGTAGTAACACTAACCCATATATACCCAGTGCTAAGATTCGAGTCCGAGATTGTTATCCCGATCTTGTAGATATTTTGTGAACTTTGGTTGGAGAAAGTTCCAAAACCATCCTTGGGTTTTACCCGTTATGGTTTGTTGTTTTTCCACGATAGCTAAATCGATTCCGGTCTACCATGCAAAATGTGCTACGACTTGCTCGAGTGGACTATAGAGGTAGATCGTATTTGTTTCAAAAAATGATAATAAAGCTTCGTATTCTTCTAGTATGGGTGACATATCCACACTTTCAAAAGTGAAGCGACGGTAGTCTAGATCCCAATGCCCTATCATGGCTTGAAAGTAGGAGATCCGAACTTTAATGTTGAGCAACCGAGCTATGTCGTCATACACATTCCGAAAATCAAACCGATCTTTAGAAGTAAGCATCTCCCAACAATTAAGGAGTGATCCAACATTGGTTAGTTTATCGGCAAGCCTAGCTTTCTCTCGGTAGTTCGACATAAAATTCGGAGGCAAACAATCTCCCTCATTAATTTGGGCCCGCTCCGATCCGACCTTAAAATCCTCGACTTTATTTCGATTTGTTCGTCATGATTTGTGTGAATGATAATCTGCAAAAGTCATGATTACAACAAATATCGTTTGGAAATAATTCATGTCTTAATAGGTCAACCTTAGTGGATATGATCTAGCTCGTCTATGGTTTTGGCAAACTTGTCTAATCCTAAAGTCTTTTCAAGTTTACGGATCTGTCTAAATTACCGATAGGGTAATGTAGCCTCTAACCTTATGTATTAGGAGGTAGGGAATATTATTCCACCATTTCCTACGCATAGGGTGAGTTTCGATCCAAATAAGAGTCTAGAAGAGCATCGGGGGACTTTCATCATACTTGCCTCCGGATCTCTCTATCTAAATCCTAGTAGGATTTAGCTCGAGTCCGAGCTTTTATAGGTTTCTTCGTGGTGCGTGCAACAGTTCAAAGTAAATATCTAAACCAGTTCAAATAAATGCAATACAAAAAAAATAAATTGTAGTAATTACATAACATAAATGACTTTGAAATATATATAAAATAAATAAATAAATAAATTGCATAAAATAAATGACTTGGAATTTAAAGACTTGAAAAATAAATAACTTGACAATAAAAACAAATAACATAGATGAATTTGAAAAACTAAAACTATGGCCTAATTCTAATTTTCCCGAGTGGAGTTGCCACTCTGTCGCTACTCGACTTTGGACGGGACTCCCAAAAATTAAAGATTTGATGTATTTACGAGTTATTTATAAGTTTGGAATCGCCACCTAGTATTGAAGGAACTAGGAACCTAAAATGGACATTGGTTCGGAGATTCTAAGGCAAGGAGTTGATTGCGCTTTGGGAAGATATAAATCACCCAAAGACGCACTTTCTTAAGAAAGGTACCATGTCCGGTTTAGTCTTAAATTCATCTCCTAAAGTGTTTTATTTATGTCAAATTATTTTTTGTTTTAAAGCTTTAATTTTCCAAGTCAAAAAGAAAAAATATTTATTTTATTTTTTTAGCGTGGCATCGTATTGAAACGATCGTCGGACCCCTTCGTCGGGGGACACGTCGGTTCAAACATCGAATCCACTTTTTGAGTCTTGACACAACCAACGTGTCGAAAAACATCTTAGTTATCGAGAAAAAAATAAAAAAATTATTTATTGTTTTTTTTAAAAAAAAAATCGTCATCGGTCCCTAAAAAAATAGTAGGAGACTTGACAATTATTGACCTATTGACTACTTAATCTAATTTTGGGCACTTCAAGGAAAAGCTGTCATCGGTCCCTAAGAATTTAGGAGACTTGACAATTTCCTCACATATTAACTATTGATCTAATTTTTAAATAAACTCTAAAAAAAAACTATTATTTTTTTTAGAAAAAATTATCATCGATCACTAAAAATTAGAAGACTCGATAATTCAACTATCATTTTATTATCAAAATTAGTTATGGAAATTAAAATTCTAAAATTTAAATTAACTAAAAACAAACGAGAATATATATAAAAAAAATTAAATAAGGCATAAACATATATAAATAAAATTCAATATAAATCATTAAAGTAACATAAAAACATGAACAAATAAAATAAAACAAACTACATAACTTTTTATTTTATTTTATTTTATTTTTTACAGTGGGCTTGTTGGAGGTTTGATAAAAAACGTCTGCTGCTCTTATCATTTTTTTTTCAACCTGACCAACTAAAATTCATCCACAAAGCAAGCAAATAAGTATCACTCTACTCCCCTTGGTTACTACATTAATTTTCATGTCTTACTAACCAAAACCAAAAGCAACTTGTTATAATTTTTACATATCATACACTGACAATAACTTTCAACAAATTTAAAACGTATTGATATGTCAAAGTAAAAGAAAAGGTTATAGAGTTACCTGTTGAGTCTGCAAGAGAATGAGATGTTGAAAAGGAAATAGAACAGATAGCTAGTTACATAACCCGAAAATAATGCCTTCTTTTTTTTAAGCCTGATTTCTTTTCTTTTTTTTTCTCTGTTTCTTGCTCTCCCTTTCCCTGTCGTTTCTTATTACCTCTCTCCTTTTCTTTTCTTTCGTGCTCTCCTCTTTCTCTCCCTATATTTCCTCTCGGTCTCTCCTCCTTTTCTTTACTGCTCACTTATCTCTTTTCTTTCCTTTCTTTTTTTTTTTTTTTTAGTTCTTTCCTGCCTGCTTTGTTTTTCTTTTCTCCTTTCCTTTTTTTTTTTTTTCTAGCTACTGCCTATTTATAAGCTTAGCATGGTTGTGGAGAGTGGCATGGCAGTTTGTAAGGGAACGATGGCTGATCATAGGGAGTGAAGTGTGGAGGTTGTGGGGAGTGGAGAGTGGATGTTATATTTTGTGGAGAGTGGAATAGTGAAAAAAATGGAGCAAGAGCTGTGGCAGTTTGAGTTCGTGGGGAAGGTGATGAAGAATGGAAGTGGATTAGAGATGTGTGAGGGGTGGAGTGGAGAGAAAAAGAAAAAAGGAAAAAGAAAAGAAAAAGGAAGTAAAGAAAAGGAAGAAAAACGTGTGAGGAGAGAGTGCTAGTTTGTAACAAACTTCCAATGCGTGTGTTTGTCTCCTTCTTTAAAGGAGGAGATGAATAGTAAAATGTACCAAATAATTCAAGGGTGAATGACAGGTCGTCCATGGCCAAAGTGTCAAGTTAGTCCTGTCGTTCGCCCCTCATTTCAATTAAGTCCTCTTTCATTTTGATTTCTCCGCAATTAAGTCCTTTTTGATAATTATTTTAGTCCCTTAAGTTTCAATTGTGTTTTAATTATCCCTCAATTTCCTTCCATATTTTTCCTACTTTTCTAGTATTTATAAATTGACTCATAATACTTTTAAATAAAATCACAATTAAATCCTTAAAAGTAAAATAGAACAATTTCTCTCTCTTTGTTTTTTTCTTTTTCTTTTTAATCATTTATCATATTTTTTTTGAATTTTTTTTAATCAATAAAATAAAAAAATAATGAAATAAAATAAAAATTTAACCCAAAATTCTGGGTTATAAATTTTAAAATAAAAAATTATAATAATTTTAAATAAAATATTAAAAATTTTAAAATATATTTTTCATAATATTATATTTCAAAAAATAAATTTATAATTAATGGAGAAGACTTTTATAAAAATAAAAAATAAAATTTTTTCTTATTTAATACTAATAAAAAGATTAATTTTTAAAATTATCCGAATAATATCATTCTTTGACGGTCAGGTTCAGGTATTTAGATAATGGTTTAGGATACCTGAACAAAATACCTTTTACAGGAAAATGGTTTCAAGGTCAGTGATTTGACTGATTTCCATGCCAGCCCGTAATATTTAAAACTGGGCCTATTAGTAGTAACTTGGGCCAATCATTATTTTAAAATAAAAGAAATTTTACCAGCCCAAATTTCTTTTTTCTTTTTAAACAAACAAAAGCCCAGTTTTCTTTTATGCTCAAAATCCACAAATCAGCCACTATGATACGACGTCGCATGTTTGATCCCCAACAAAGGATTGATGAAATTTCGTCTCGTCCTTTCTCTCCTCTCATGATACCACAGATCTCTTTCCCTCTCTCCCTCTGGACAATGGATTTCCAAATACGCAGCGTTTTACATCTGCTCATCATCTCCTCTCTTCTCTTCTCACTAGCTAAGGTACATACCTCTCCATCTTCGTGTATTTCTAAATACACATATCTGCGAATCAATATATGCTTGATTTGATCTGCTAATTTGTTACGTTAGATTGATCTGGTTAATTTGTACCTTCCAGGCTGAGTCTGGTGGTTCAGTTTATTTCATCGATAGCCAGACTCGTCAATATCTGCGCACTCCATCACCAAACGATGTCGTCCAGGTTTTTGTATTTCAATACCTAATTTATATGCTTCTTCAATTCAAGCATCCCGATGCAGAATCTTATGTGAAATTTATTCTGATTTTATTAAGTAGTAAATGTCTTAAGGAAGTAATTCAGTGTTCGTCGCTATTATCTGAGATGATTTAGATTGGCATTAGAAATCACTCGATTGAACTAGAAGAATGAGTGTTTAAACTCGTGGACTTCATTTCAATTTGCACAATTACACTAGTCATGATGCCTTACAATGAGTTGATCTGTTACCTTGTACATATCTGTTGTGTTTCGTATATTACACTTTCCTGTGGTGTTTTACTTCATTGTCGAATGATGATTTTTCCTGCTTCTGTTCGTTAAGTATGTAGGCATGTTGGAGTAACTATCTTTCTTCTCTTACAGTCTAACTCCATGTCAATCCGAGAAGTTGGTGCTGCTGTGTCGGTATTGCTTGGTTTTGCACCATTTGATGCGCTTTCAGCTGCTAGTTCATCGAAGGTCATTTGGAATAATATGTATTGCAGATTTAAATTTTATTTTTATATTATTGTCTTGGTTTTGATAAATTCTGTTGTTGCTTTTGCAGTTGAACGAGGTTCTCTTGCCCAATCCATTTAACAGGCCTCGTGCTGTTTTACTGCTTGAAGTCACTGGAGGCAAGTTTCTGTTCTTGGTGTTGAATTGTATTATTAGCTGCAATCTTGTTTTCTTTTGTTGACTAAGTAATCAAGTGAATGATTTTGACATGTAGAAATCTCATCTGTGGCTGAGCAAGCAAATGCTATGCTCAATTCTGCCTTCAAGAGCAAGATTGTTCCTGGTTCAGATAAGGCTGGCATTCGACTTCCAGGTATTGATGCTCTACATACTTGAATAATAGGAAGACTTGATTCATTAATGTGACTATTTTTGTTGTTTTTTGAATTAATGGATTGTCAATTTCAACGAATTTTTGTTTATTTTATGAGATCTGTTTCAGGTGAAGAGGTTTCAGTGGTTTATCTGGATGAAGAATTAGTAGATTTCACTGACAAGGGAATTAGTGATTTTGTAAGTCTTGACTTGTATTTACCCCCTGTTATTGCTTTTTCCTGTGATAATGATCTTTTCTAAATCATTGATCATTTCACTTAAAAGAGTGACGCTGGCCTTTTGTGTTTGTTTAGGCATCTTGGTTGGGCGGATCGTATGTTGTTGATCCCTTGAAAGCATTGAATGGAGAGTTAGTAATCCCATTGGCTAGTGGTGCCACTACAAGTCTTCATATGTCCGAGGTCTCTTATTTGTTATTATCCATATCGTTTTGTATGTTAGATTGAAATATTTTGTAATTATCAGATTTTTATTGGAAGGTTTGCATTTTAATTGTTTGCAGAAAGCAAACGGGGAGTTTATTGCAAGTCTTCTAGCTCTGTTCCGCAATAGTAGAAAAGCAATAGAGATGCATGAAGATTTGTCACAGAGTACTCAACCACCGGCAGAGTTACTGAAGGGCTGCTTTGATGGTCTTAAGGTGATGAAACTGCTTGTATTTTTTACATTTTCTTTTTTCTTTTTCCTTTTTTATTCAGAATGGTTTTTGTGTTACAGAATCTACTTCTGCATAGAATTTATGGAGAAGGAGAAATTATTAGATATTCCTAGTGTATTGGTCCTTGACTCATAAAAGTGGGACTTGCCATGATAACTACACTGGGATCCCATTCTTATGTGAATGGGGGAAGCAAATACATCACGAGTTCCTAATAATCTCTTGTAGGAAAGAACGTATAAAGTCTCTGAATGCAGACAAACAGCTTCTAATTTTTGTTTATGGTTTTGTCTTTTTTCCCTTTTTTGGACTCAGATTGTGTTTGTTGCAATGAACTTATTACAACAATGAAGGCAGTTGTTCGCCATCTTATTTAACTAGTATGTGAATATGTGGAAATTCAAAAGAAAACAACGATAGAATTGTGAATTGATCCTGGTAATTCCTTAGGTTGAGAGAAAAATAAATGCTTCCTTTTGGGTTGGCTTCTCCTTTGGTTGTAGACAGTTTTCCAATAGAATGCTATATAGCTATTGGAATGATTTATAATGAGCTGGATTGCATCCTTTAGCGTGATTGCGAGTTGGAAGTTCTCAGCAATTCATTTCTTCATTTAATGAAATTATACTATATCACGACGGAAAAGCTATACAATTGATTGATTCTGTTATGGTTTATCCTTTTTCAGTATTTATGCAATTTTTTTTTTCTTTTCTGCCCCAATCTTTCTAGAGAATAATCCCTGCTAGAAAGCAGTTAGCTCATGACTTTATTTTATTTATTACATTACAGGCTTTGGAAGAGCAATATGGACCCGAGGGTGCTGTGCATAAAGGGCTGGAGCTATTACTAACTACGTTGTCCAAGATATTTGATTCATTGCAAGCAGCTTACAAAGGTTGGTTGCTTAGGTTTTTGGGAAATCACCAACACAATCTTCAGCTGAAATGTTGTAGTTTTTATGTAAATGATAGTTGAAATGAGTATCGACCTAGTATATCTGATTAGTTCTTGCAATCATTTACTCAATTGTAGATTTTTTATTTTGTTTATATGAATGTCACAGGGTTTTTCAAATCGACAAAAATGTGGTGTTTAAGCTAACTTTTCTGGTCTCTCATTAATGTTTCTAACCTATGTGATTAAAGTATCCTTTTTTTTATTTGTAATTGTTGTCCCCTAGCGTATTGTTGTGCCTGAAAATTTTATGATGGTCTTACAAAAACGATTGGTAATTGGACAGGTCAAATTGTTGGAGTGATCTTTTTCGACACAGCACCTGCACCAGAATCAGAAACAAAGCTGAATGTCATGTTGTCTTCCCGCCCATATGCACGTTGGTTGGAAGAAACAAAAGCACCTACAAATGGAACCATTGCAGAAGTGGTCTTGGTTAGAATGACCCTTGCTTGGATAACTGGAATTGTTCTTATCATTGCTACTATCTTGGGGGTAAGATTATCTAATAACAAAACCTTTGCACCTTTTTCCACTAATTAATTTAGGAACTCTGAAAATGTTGATAGTGGTAATTAACGTCTCTAATGCGCCCTTGTTCCCTATTCCCAATCCCTTTTTTTTCCTTTTTCTTTTTCTAGCTTGTTTGTAAGCAGAATAAATCTTGATTGCTTCCTGGTAAAATGATGAGTTGCATTATGAACTATAAGAATAAGAATTCTATTTGCAATTGATTAAAAAAATAACAAACGGTATCTTGTTTAAAAGGTATGCCAAGTGAAGTGAAGGGATTAAAGCTCCCTTGTGAAGAAAAACATTTCACAAATGCATTTGAGTGATGAAATTGAGGGGAAAAAAAGAAAAGATTAGCAGGTATTTTAAATTGGCATGTAGAACTCTATTCTATTGATACTTCTCCAGGTTTAATCTCACATGATGAAGAATTGTTCTATCCACGTAACTTGTAAGGAATGTGAATCAGGCTCCTTGCTCAAAATCTAGTCCTAAACTCAGTAACGTGTATGGATCATTTGTTTAGATTATTGTATAAAAAGGTTCGTGGATAGAATTCACTTGATGGAAGGAGAACTCGAAAACATTAGTATGTATTTAGTTTGCTTATAAATGGTGCAATTTAGAGGAACCTGAAACTATTTTTTTTTTTATAGAAATTTCGGATGATGGAATACACATCTTAATTTGTAACATTCTGCAGAAAAGTTTAATTTCTTTAAAAATTATCAGCATTTGCAACTCAGAACAATTTGGTTTGAGAATTCAGACAGTACATGGGACTTAAATAAATTATTTATTTATTTGTTTATTTTTAGTAAGTTCAATTCATTTTTGTTGCAACATGAGAATTCATTTCTTGGTTTGTCTTCTTTTTGCTGCAGATCTACTTTCTCCTCAACATGCCACTCACAAAGGACACCCTTCTTTACTCCAATGTCAAGCTTGACTAAGCCGAAAGGAAGCTGATAAATTTTTTTACTGCTAGAAGGTGATGCAGGATGCCATGGAGCCTGCACCCAATTGTTTATTTGTAGATTTCTTGTTGTAAACCTATTCCTTGGTGGTTGTATTGTATTGAAAAGGTTGCTGTAGTAAATCATATGCTTGCTTTCGAGGCATCAGTAGCTACATGATCAAGGGATGTGGGCTTACAAGAAAACCCGTTGGTTGGTGCAAACTCCTCTCATATACAGTAAGTAGGGCACTGTAAAACCTGTTTGGGGAGGCAAAATGTGGAACAACAGTCATTATGCAATTTTATCTTTCCGTTGTTTCTCATATTGTGCATTTGTTGAATAAGAGGATACCGATGCGATCATGATTTGTATTTGTAGCTATCGTTAATATCTTTCAAGATTTTGAATAAAGGAAACTAGTGCTCCCTTGTTTGATTTCTTCTTTGTTTTGAGTATATAAATGTTATGTCTTAAAAATCAAAATAATTTTTAATCGGGTTTGAGGCCCAAGTTGATGTAACTGCCGCAACTGAATGTATCAAAGCCGATAAACGGATAAAGTGTAAATAAATAAAGATATTTATCTTACGGCCGGCCACCTGTTATTTTGATTCAATCGTGTGGTAATAAATTATCCTCTCTCTCTTCTCCTCTCTGGCTCTCAGGCCTTGCTATTTTATTTCCGTCCTAAATTGTCAAAATCTAATAATAATGATGAGAATGTCTTCTTCTACATTTCCTCTCCCTCTAAACCCTAAACCTTTTTCTTTCCATAAGCCACCTCACACTCTATGTCCACTCCTATTCTCCAAACACAAAACAGTAATCTCCTCACGCTCTCTTTCAAAATCTCAGTACATCTGCTTCTCTTCTAATCCAGACCGAGAAGAATTCCTGTGGCTCCGAGAGGAACAGCGGTGGCTACGCGAAGAGGAACGGTGGCTCCGTGAAGAGCAGCGTTGGACTCGCGAGAGAGAATCGCTTCTCAACGAAATACAATCCTTAAAGCTTCAAATTGAAGCTCTAGAGAATCGTATTTCAATCCTTCAACGAGGAGGAGGAGGAGGAGACGATATGCTAGCCAAAGTAGGGGTGTTGCTACAGGTTTTGAAAGACAAGAATAATGGTAATAATAATAATAACGATTTGATAGCAGAGAGTGCGTCCGGTGCGAGACCGATTGTGTTGGAGGAGAAGGTGCAAGAACAGAAGGAAGTGATTGGAAAAGTTTTGGAGAAGAGGAGAACTCTGAGGAAAGGAAGCGAAGGAGAAGAAGTAAAAGACATGCAGGTCTGACTCTAAGACTATTGTACTCTATTTTACTAAGTAAAAATAAACTGAGAAAAGGCGATTTTTCTTTTTTATGTACGATTTTCATTTCTTGGAAATTCTTCTTTTACTAAAAAATAATTGATTGCGGTACACAAGAGTTTGCTATTTAATGAGGTAAATTTAGGCATGGAGAACAATGTAGACTATTTGAAAGGTTTATCAAGTAAATAAGATGCGTGCTGCTTTATAGGAGTACAAATTTTAGGCTGTAAGAAGTAGAAATGCTACTGAAGTTGATCATCGGAAACTATTTTATCATAATTCTGTAGAGATCTTTTTCTTTTTAATGTTTCTCGTGATTGCTATGATGCTGTGATAGTTGTGTTGATGATATTAGAAGTTTGAGTGTTGTGTTTTGATATATTTAATACCTTTTCTATTTATTCCAGGAAGCTTTGCTAAAGTTGGGGTTTTACTCAGGGGAAGAAGACATGGAATATTCCAGCTTCTCAAGTGGGACTGAACGTGCTGTGAAGACCTGGCAAGTAAGTTTTAGATTTGCATTACGTGGTAGCTCAAATGGACAGAAATAAATAAAACGTGGTTAACTTTGTCATTCCCTCGTGCGTGGAAAATATACATACATGCATGTGCAAATGTTGTTTCTTTAGAATCCTGGTAGTTAGTCTTTTAGCTTATAGCTAACATTATGTGGATAGTTAAATTGATCAGTTTTTAATAGATTATATATGATCTCTCTTGGCAGGCATCATTAGGTGCCTCTGAAGATGGAATAATGACAACCGAGCTCCTTGAAAGGTTGTATATGGAGCAACACATTGAGGGTCCTATGTCAAGCATTAGTGCAAATCAAAAGAGAAGCACTCAAACTGTTCCAGAAAAGGTATGTGCCTATCAATCCACCTCTGGCAATACAATTATGATTGATGTGAATAAGTTGTGTTTGGTTTCTGTTTCAATATATCATCCCCGTGATTTACATTTGAATGGGTGACGAAGCCGACATGAAATACTTTAGTTTTCAGAGGACATGAGCACTGGTTCCTTTCCATATTTTTTTTTTTATCAGAAATGGTTTCTCACATTATAATTGCTATTTTTAGCCATGCTCATCTACTTCAGTAGTTGTGTTGCTTGCAGCTTTAGTTAGACAGTTAGCTCAGACGCAAAGTAGCAAGGCATATCAGTAAAACTAATGTCTTCCTTTTAAAATTCATAAACCTTTCGTGTATGAGTTGCACTGTTGAAGTAACCAAGACAAACTAAAGTCCTTGTTTTTTAGCACTAAGCTTGTATCATTACTGAAATGAAGAAGCGGAAATACTATGTGTAAGCTCTTATTGTGATATTCTCACAATTCTGAATGCTTACTAATTAGTCTTGTATAGCATACGATGTAATGCTGGTTAACTACCATTGTTTATTAGGATATCACTTGAGTATATGTGTGCTGATTGATGCATATCCCAGTAAATCTGTCTCTTTTCACAGATTCGTTTGGTAATGATAGCATGCTCGTAATCTTGATGAGCAGAACATTTATTGTTTTAGATATTATTCCAAGTGATCCCTGGTTAGCAAGCACACTGAGAATACATGCTTGGAGGTTGTGAAATTTCAAAATGTACTGCTCACTTTAAATCCACTGTACATTAGGAAGGTGGCAATGGAGCTGCTGTTGCTTCTGTAACAGAAATCTCAGATATACAGAAGAAAGTGGTGAAAGAAGAAGGCATAACAGAAGTCGAGGTATCGCATCAAAGAGTATTTCTTCTTGGGGAGAATCGGTGGGAAGAACCTTCTAGACTTAATGGCAGAAACAAACAAGTTAGTGGGAGCAAAGCCAAGGATTCTGCAAAACAGTGCCTTACATGTCGTGGGGAGGGTCGTTTGTTGTGCACAGGTATGTTGGTTGCCACTGCCTGGATTGGGCATCTATATTTACAGATAGAGTATCATCTTATCTGATTGTTTCTAAAAGCTTCTTAATAAACAGGCATGACACTGAAATCAGAGTCCTTTTGTTTTTTTCTTTTCTCCATAGTTGAGAATACCTAGTATCTTATAATACACTAGAAGGACATAAAAAAACGGTTTAACTGGCTCGCTATTCATATATAGTATCATTCTCATAACAGGCATTATGCATTTCTGGTGCAATAATGTTGGAGTAACAAGATATTGCTGTCATAGGTTTGATGTGAAGATTAAGAGCTTTAGTAAATAAATAGAGATTGTGGAAATATCAATCTTATGATGCATGATGGCAATATGCATCTCTGGTTTGGTTAGATATCCCACTGCTTGCAAATATCGACAGAGAGGTATCTTGGGAGTAAAATGTCAATTTTCAGTTTACAGCAGTATGGGCTCTGGAAATTGTTCTACATTTTCTGGTAATGTAATGGCAGCTATATGAGCAGCTGTTTCAAGCTATCAAACAATTTAACCTTTTTGCTTCCTCTTTTATTTTAAGAATTCATTTAAGCTAAATCTGGATCAATTTTTTTAAGATGTCTAAACATCCAAAGTACAGGCATGTTATTGTAATCGAATATTGGCAATGATTTCATCAAGCAAGTTTTTAAAAGTTTGCGTGCGCTTGCCATGTGACCGAAAATGATGCAGTTTGCAGTTCACCTTTTGCAGACACGATTGCCATTAGCTACCTAACGGTAGTTTTGGTATTCCTCAATCTTATGCTTTGTTACTTATTAGTGGTTTTCTGTTGCAGAATGTGATGGTACAGGTGAGCCAAATGTGGAGCCACAGGTATGAAAAAATTTCACATGCATTACATGTTCTTTATAATTTCTATTGCTTTTTGCCATTTCAACATCCTCCAAGATCTAGGCCTCACAATCGAATTCTACGCTGCAGTTTTTGGAATGGGTAGACGAGGGAGCAAAGTGTCCATACTGTGAAGGCCTTGGGTATACAATTTGTGATGTATGTGAAGGGAAAACAGCAATTTAGGTACAGCAGATAATTTTTATATATCGGTATACAAGCAGGTGTTGATCTTACAACAAGAGCCTTGTATTATAGATCTAAGATGCAACATACATAATCAATTAATCAACACCTAATTCTTTATGCAAGCAGTTATAGTCTTGATTCATCACCTTGCCAACCAATTTAAATGGCTACACTGCTGGCTTCATCTTCCATTTATCTTTTTGATTTGAATGGCTGGTCCCCAGAATAAGGCTTAGCTCTGCCTGTATTTTCTATTTTTCCCAATCCTGTAGAACATGGGATCAAACAATTGTGGTACTCCTATGGGTGTTTTGGCTAAAGCTTGGTTATATAGCATCGGAAAGAACAATCCTTTGGTTGACAGGTTGGTTGAGATCGAAAACAAACATTAGAAAGCTCTCTGAGACTTGCCAAACAGGTGATTTCCATCATCCTAATTTCGTTAACTTTATCAACCTATTTATTTGTCAATGAATTAAACAGATATTGCTTGGGCAGCATTTGCTTCTGTGAGTAGTAAATGCGCTGGAGGGCCAGTGATAATGGTTCTTATAAGACCGGTTATACCATATTGACTACTGTACCTGGCCGGGAAAACATCGAATGGTGACTGCAGTGAGCAGTGAGCATATGACAGGAACTTTGAAATCCATCCCAACCATGACCTACCGATATTCGATCCCAAGCAAGCTCTAAATCAATCAGCACAGCCCATGCCTCAGACACCATAGCAATTGCGTTTCCCAGCATAAACACGAATCCTCCCACCAACCCAGGGATCCTTACATGCTACATCAGAGTTAAAGAGGGATACAACTAAAACAAGTTGTTGTCTTAATCTTATGAAACGCAATGCTAGACAAGTCATCAAAGTATATCACGCATGGTTTTAAATAACAGACAGATGAAAAAACGATCGTGATCATCATTATGAATCACGGCTTACTATAATACTAAAATAACGGTAACGGAATACTCCAAAACCGTTATATAACGTAACGAAAGTTACTTAAAACTATGATATCACGGCTTGTGTTAGATTCCTACGTGCTTTAGGAATGAGAAATTTAATTATAGTTCATAATTAATTATCAATACTTATTTCATAAAATATTTTTTTCAACCTATTTGAAAATATCGTTATTACTTTCGATGAATTCAGAGATTTTTTATTTCTTGGTAGTTATTCTTTCATTACTCTTTTAAGATTTCTTAGAATGATAATGTACTCTCCATATAGACAAGGCATCTTTGACATGCACTGACCCCACTCCCCCTCAGGAATATATATATATATATATATATATTTTTTTTTTGAACAACAGCATGCAACAATAGAACTGATCCCAGTAAACTAGAGTAAATTATAAATTAATTCTAGTTTTTCAAAACCAATTAAAAAGTACTTTTACTTTCAAAATCTAATTAATTAATCTCCACGTTTTTTAATCTATTTGTAACCTGATGCTTTCATTATTTTTTTAAATTTATTTTGTTTGTATTTTTAAGAAATAAAAAAAGAAAAATAATAAAACTAATTATAAATTAATAACACCAATCTTGAAAAACAAATTAATTAGTCCTCCCTATTTGAAAGATTAATTATTTAGTTTTTTGTCCATTTTATGTTATTTTCTAAATTATTTTGTTTTTAAACTAGAAAAAATTTAAATAGATATTATGAAAAAAAATTGGTGAAAAAAATATTTTTTCAAAAATAAAATAATATTCAATTAAATAAGATCAACACTTCTAAAAAAATCAAAAACGTTTTTCAAACAAAAAAGACTAATTACTTTGTTTCTTAAAACTAAATGTACTAATAAATAATTTACTCACAAAAAAAAATCAAACAATACGGAAACATTGATGAGCAAATATATTTTTTTGAAACAGTAATATTAAATTAATCATAATCAACATTAATTAAGACACTAATTAATTAGTTTTTGAAACAAAGTAAACTATTTAATTTGTTTGGAAAACTTAGAAGAACTGGTTCATAATTTACTCCAGCAAACTACTTTTGCCACCAATTCAATAGAGAGGCTACCGTTATATAAACAGTACAGAACTTTTCGCAACACCATAAATGTAATTAAAAAAAAAAAGACCAACGCAAAACACTGGTTCTGAGATAGTAGATGTCCACCATAAAAAGGCGTGGATGCCAATCCAAAATATAACATATACTATTACTTTGCCAAACCGCGGCAGCATCTAAACTTTCAAGCATGCAATATTCTATGATGACGTGAACTTTTATTGGGGAGAGAATAGCAATAGCCTTACCGTGATATTTCTCTCTCTTTATATTTGCTATCATGAAATAGTTTCCCGTGACCAAATTATGAGGAAGTTGAATTCAACCAATATAATCATTTTTGGATTTTCTTTTTGCACTGGTACTTTTACAAATTTGTCTTTGGTTTGCCACTTGCAGTAACGCGCCTTGTCACTGAACGCATGGTCACAAATTCCTCAGCAGAAGAAGGGTGTACTCCCACCTGTGGCACCAAAAAAAAAAAAAAAAAAAATCAGTAATACACAGTCGAAAATGAGCGAACAGCTAGATTGTTCAGAAATCTAAAGAATAATGATCCATTTCCGCTTCATCAACTGAATGCATGCTACCATAAGCACCAAGGACATGGGTGCGTGAATCGGTCCGGAAGGAAAAAAAGAAAGGTAATTAAGGGGAAGAGGCAGTGATATATGGACATGGCCACCTAGATATTATACAATAAGGTATCACTATCAAAGAGTCTATGGGCTATTCCAAGATGTAACTGCCAGCATTTACAATTTAATATTCATCACTTGAATTCTACCATTATGCTTAGACCAAAATAAATCAATTCTATGTTCATTATAAGAGCATGCCAAGCGATGTTAGGAATGGAAAGAATCACTGAATTCCTTATCTTTAGCCCGCATCTCTAAATGAAAGTTACTTGGTACTTACAGTACTGTCAAATTGTTGCTTGGTTGCTCCACACTTCAGTGCAATAGCAATACCCTGTGAAGATCGCCAAAGAACCAATTGTCAGATCATGTATGAATAACCAAAAAAGAACACAGGGACAGAAAACTGGAGGGAAGGAGGGTGGCTTCAGCAATGAAACTGTGTATAGAATGTGCAAAGTATTCTCTACCCAGGCAATTCATGAAATGAATAAAAAAACACACACCTGCATAATTTCAGGTGCATCTGGCCCACACATGGAAGCTCCGAGTACTTTATCCGTCTCAGCGTCAACAACAAGCTTCATTATCGTCTTCTCTTGCCGTCTAGAAACAAAGATAAGTTCTGACATATTAAGAGCAGCATACAGATGTTTTAAGCACCAAAAGCCTCGGAATGCATAAGAAATGCAGATACCACCTCACAAATCACAATTAGAGTAAAAAGAAGCAGGGCTCAAATACTACCTCTGGATTAATGAGATCATCCCAACCATATATGCCTATGCTTTTGATGATTTTATCAAATCATTTATCTTTGCTCATAAATATATCTCAATCTTTCATTATTTAAGCCTCTTTTTTTCAAGCAAAAAACTCATTTTCAAGACCAGGGAAATTTAATTGAAAAAAGGCTAGGTAAAATTGGCTTCATGAAAATGAGCAAATATGCAGATGGAGAAAAGCATACAGATGTTTTAAGCACCAAAAGCCTTGGAATGCATAAGACATGCAGATAACGCCTCACAATTAGAGGTAAAAGAGACTGGGCTCAAATGCCAGAAGGTGTTAACATGGAATATAAAAGCAAAAACGATCCAAGCAATAAAAAGAATGACTTTTATCAGAAATAAAGTGAAGATGTTCAAAGTCTATCAGATTTAGAGGGTCCAATGTACAGAAAGAACAAATTTCCAGAACCTCTTCAAAGATATTATCTACTTCTTGGCAAGTTTAAGTTTGCAAATGCTTGGTCACTTCAAGTTTCCAAAGGAAATGTTTTGACCCCTAGTTCTTTCATGTCATTTTGTAAGTGATGCTCTCAAGTTTTCCATAATGCTAACTGCTTGTTGTAATACTATAGACCTATTTAGCAAAATAAGATCTCAAATTTCAGTACATACCCAGAGATAGTATTCTTCATAGGATTGAAGGTCGAAGTGAAAACCAATACATCACCATTTGCTTGCTCTAATGCCTGCTCCTCACTAAGGCCCACTACAGAGAGAGGAGGTATGCTGCAGAATACCAAATATCACATGTTATTCACCCATGAAGAACAATGAACATGAGCACTAAATTTTCTTTTAGACTTGAGACTTCTATACTTAATGTGCATGAGTTAGTCGCACTGAAGCAACAAACTGATGCTACCGTATGTATCATATGAAGTACCAGGTAACATTAACCAAATGTTATGAGCAGAATATAGGTGTAAAATCCCAACATAGAGCATGGTGTCAGAAATTAGGGATGAGATATATGATCATGGAAACAACAAAAATAGACTTTAGGTAACCCCAGTGAAGCAACAAACTAATATGAATACACATCAAATAATGTACCAAATAGCACGTATTAACTATAGGTATCAAATCCCAAAATGGAACATGGTATCAGCAAGATAGGGAGGGAGAAGAGAGATGGTGGGGGAAACAACATGAAAAAATAAAATGTCAAGAAGAAGACATTCAATAACCTGTTTCCTAAATGGCCTCACTGCATCACAGATTCAATCTTGGAGACATGCAAAACTGTTGATTGATTGACTAACAAAATATCAATCAAAACTCAACTGTAGTTCAATCCAAACTAGTTTGAACAGTCTATGTAGATCCTTTTCCTCCGGTCTCTTCTATCCTTTGACGAATTTTCTATGGGCTCTTTTAGCAATAACATTACAGTTTTTTATACAAATTTAATCCCTATAATTTTTATTCCAAGCTAAATATTATTTATCACATAAAAAAAATCCAGTTAGATCATAAAGGTATTTTTTATAGCCCCCATCAGAATTTGTTTGAGAGATTTCTACTTCTTTAGACCCCAGGTGATTATATCCCAACTTTCAGTCATCAAATCAATATTCACCTTACAAATTTATGTTAAGAGCTTCCAAACCTTTTGATGCAGGCAACAAAAGGATCAAAATTTGTCTTTTTGTAGACAAAAGATTTGTAATATGAATACCCTTATGCTTTGCAGAGATATAAGATGCCATTTTCGGATTCCATTTTCTAGTAGCATGACCAAAATGAACTCCTGTTTCCAACATCCCCCTAGTTAAGAAAGTCCCTAAGAGAGTACTAATCCTTTTTCTTTGTTTTTTTTTTTTTTTTTTTTTGCTAAATTCTTCTTTTTTATTTTCTGTCAAAGGTTTCCTTATCACTCAGATATCTCTTTATGGACAAACTCCAGAAGGGGTATTTCTGTGCCTTGCTTCCTTAAGATGTCTATTCAAGGATACCAGAGTAATTTTAAGAGCTTAACTTTTTTCTTTCACTGTCATTATAGAATTGACTAAAAAATCCGGCCTTTGATCAGTCTGCACTAACTGAATAAGAAGATTCTTTTACACATTAAAGATAAATATGATCAATCACAAAACCAAATGCTAGCTGCAGTCACCATGGGCTACTTTTAGAGATCGTGGCTCTCATTTATTATTATGGCAATACGATGATTCACTAGGTTTCAGAAATGTGCAAAAGATCATGTCCTCCAATCTAAATGTCAGGTTTTAAATGCTAGCTCGGGATATGAAAAATTCTATGCGCAAGACAATTCTTGCAGATGTCTGAACTCTGAAGTTCTAAAGCATATATATTCATCACAACCACCATCCGATTTACATGCATTGTGATTGAAATGAAACAACTATAAACATCATTTAAACAAGATATTGAGGAAGAAAAAAAACAGTACAAGCACATCCACAAGGAGATACCTAAATACAGCATATGGTATGTGATTGTAGTCTGGTTTGGTAGGTTGCCCTGCGAAAACAGTTTTCTGAAGGCAATAAATCAGAAACAGATTCGCTGAATATCAAACAAATTACATGATTACCAAAAAGGGATGGAGGAGCTAAAAAAGATTGTTCTGAAAATGAAGCAGCAAAAGGCAGATCAAGTAAACACATACTGCAAAGCAGGTTCCCTCCATTAAGGCCACAGGAGTAAGATTCATTCGGTTTGTGACATCACCAACAGCCCATATGCTAGGTATATTGGTGCGAGAGTGCTCGTCAACCTGGTCGAGAAAGTAGCAGACTCTCGGTCATGTCATATAACTTGCAGAAATGTAAACAAGATTTTCTTTCTAAAATTGAAGAAACAGTTTCTTTTGCATAGTGGATAAATCAACAAGAGAATCCCCAAGAAAAAAGAAAGAATAAAAACGACAACAACACAATAATAAAGAAAAAGCAAATATGGTCTCAATGCAGCTAGATGTTTCGATACAATCATAACAGATGATATTTTTTACATGTAATCAGAAATCTGCAATGAAAGCATCACGTGTTTTAAACCCTGATGGTGATTGATTTGGGTACAATGCCCCTCGGATCAATCAGGGTGTAATGTTGCATATACATGACATTGTAATGAGATATAATCAAAACCCTTCCACTAGCCGCTTACTTCACTATTCTTGTTTTTATGGAGACCCCTGGCCCACAACACAATTGCAGGGAACTCCACAGACATGTTCTGACAGAGTTTAGCCTTTCTAAATACACAAATGCATCATTGACAGCAAGACCTCACCAAGAACAGCCAAAAATTATCACTATATCAGCCCAATATAGGAGTGTAAACAAAAAATTAAGATAGTAATGAAAAAAAATTATACCCACATCAGGGATATAAAATAATAAAACACCAAACGCATATGTAACATATACCAAGCTACAAGGAAGTGAATATAAAGGGGAAAAAAACTACCATAATAATGCTGAGATTGACATCTATTGTTTGCACTCTAAAGTAAAAGCATAAAGCTCAATGATTAATGCGGAGGCAGAACTGAAACCTACTGACCTTCACAGCTCCTCCTCCATCAAGCTCAACACCTACAGCTTCTAAATTTAATCTCTTCGTATTGGGAGCTCTACCTGTAACAAATGAAAGAAGAACATCAATAATGAAAGTAACATCAAAACAAAAGCACGAAACATAAAAACTTATGGATAACAAATAAAAAAAATCTTTTCTGTTGGTTAATGCTAAATAATTCAAGAGAGGATAACAAACAAGCCAAAAACGAACCTATCTAGCGAAAAACATGTAAATTGCGATTTTACTCAACAATTAGATTCTGATTCCTAAGGTTGCATGGAAACAGCGGTGCATGCTTTCTATTTACAGTACATGCTTATATGCAGTGACCTATTAACAACTTCACAATGCATGTAATTTAAACAAGGATTATAATTACCAGTGGCAAAAAGTACAACATCTGCCAACAGCTCCTCTCCATGATCCGTGCGAACTTTTATTCCTTCCTCTGTTTTAGTCAACTGTATTTACAGCTAATATTGTTACAATAAGGTTCTCTATAAAAAAAAAACACATAGAATAATCAAAACATTAACTGAAAAGAAAGGCAGGACAAAAAAAAACATGAAACAAAAGCAACACATGTTGACACCAAATTCCAATAAAAGTGAAAGTACCTCTGTCAAATTTGTTCTGGGATGAAAATTAATTCCCCTGCCTTCTAGATTTCTTGCAACCACAGCCCTCATTTCATCATCAAAACCCCTGAAGCAGATAGCAATCAGATACACTGGCATGAGAAACACAACTGCAGTCTAGACTTTCAAAATGATTGAACCAAAAATCACCACTATGGTATAGCATAATACAAAACTATATATAACATGCTTGAATGGCAACTGCTACTTCAAATATGACGCTATAATTTGCTAGCTTCCAGATTCCAATTCCAACAATCTAGAAAGGAAAAATATGAAGGCCACTGTGGACAAGTTAAAACCTAGAGTATTTTGTCCAGGGAACTCGCAGACCAGGAAGTAATCATCAAGAACTCATAAAACGGTAACCCTGTCCATCAAAATATTCTTTACACAGTTTACTTGCAAACATAAAATTTGTGGGCTACTATATATGACAAGAACTTGGTCATTCAAAAAAATAAAAAATAACCTTAATGGAAGTTCCCTTCTGAAAAATAGATCCACATTAGCACCCATGCCACGCCATATTGAAGCAAACTCAACAGCAATGTACCTAAACAAAAAAAGAATGACAACCCAAAATCATGCACATGCTAGGGCATAGGCAAATGAAATAAATAGATAGCACAGCTACATGGAGTTTACCCTCCACCAAGCACCACTGCACGCTTAGGTAGATCTTCCAAACTCAATGCCTCATCAGAAGTTATGGCCAACTCCTAAATAATCCCAAAGCAAAAAGCAACTGATAAGGCAGTCAGGCAAGCAAGCAAGAAAAGGAAAACAAAAGAAAAGCAGCTTCAGCGAATCCAGAAACTAGGTAATAAATTGCAAGAAAACTAGGTTCAACTGGATAATTCCAGCAGTAATTGCAATCAAGAATCAATTGTGTAATAGAAAGATAAGCACCATGCATCTGAACGGAGAAACTACAGATAGCCTTGGAAGTGTGGTGATTAGAAAACAGTTAAAAGGGAAGCTACAGATAAGAGCGTCAATCTGATCGGAGCAGCTAAAGATGGCTTAGGCGGCCTCGCGATTGGTACACATCAATTCATTAAATAAAATTGACGTTGAATACAAAAACTGAAGTGAATGAAATTATGAAAACAAGGTTGTCAGATTCATAATCAAATATTATTTGGACCCATGAAACAATGGACAAGGTGTGCTGAAACACATGTTAATATAATACAGAGCAGTAATATTCGCTAATTTCTAGTTGAAATAAAATAAAGCAAATTTGAAATAGAATTTTGATAAAAAAAAACCGCTGCCCAATTAGATACATCCATATCACATTAAATTTATGAATTTTCTATCAGCAGATCCATATCATATTGAAGTTGCATCCCAGTGCAACTGCCAACGCATCTTATAAGAGAAAATAAAGAGTGCAAATTTGTAATTTTCATGCATGCAGGAACAATACAGAGATATTTGTACAGTTAAAACAAGTAGGTTTCTAAGCTGTGTTCACTCATCCAATTTTCTCCATTCCAACAAATTTCTTTTAAAACTGCCTAAGGATGTCAAAGGAAGCTTATCTCTATATTCTATGGAGCAAACCTTCAATTTAATCATTGATAAAAACCTATCAATCACTGCCTTCTACTAGTTGACAAATCAAGATAAGAAGAAAAGGCACAAATAGAGTACATAGGTTATTCTGTCTGGTAAAATTTTATTTTTCAACAGATCCTCCTGGTATGCTATTTTAACAAAAGCTACAAGAAGTCATAACCCTTAGAGCTTCAGTAATCAAAAGGCAATTCAAATTCTTCAAAACAGTTTACCCAAGAAGAAAGAGAACGAGAGAACACTTCAAGAATACCATACAATGCCTATATCAAATCCATATTTGGAAAACAGCAGCTCTTCAATAACACAAAACAGAGCGTGACTGTTAAATGATTTAATCATTGGATGCAAAAGGACACAGAATACCCATCAGAGACCAATTCCAAATCATTCAAGGAGAAAACCATGAAACTTGCCTGCCCAGGGATAGCGGGACGCTGAGCTCTACTGCCAGTTGAAATCAGTATGTGCTTTGCTGCGTATCTCAATTTAGTTCCATCTAGTTGTGTCACCTCAACTTCATTAGGACCAACAACCTTTCCCTCTCCTTCATACAGTTTAACCCCAGCATTAGATAGTAGCCTCTTGTAAATTCCATTTAGCCTGATTATTTCATCCGTCTGCAGTTTTGGCCAGCAATAGATGAAACAATATATTCACAATCAGGCACTGTTCTGTTATAGGATATGGAAAGACTAAACCCAAAAAAAAAAAAAAAAAAAAAAAAAAGAGGAGAGAAGTAACAAGAATTTCTGAAAGAAGAAAAACATCTTAAACACAGGAGCATAAAGAATCTCAATGCTCTAGTAAGTATATTTCTCCTTAACAGTTAACACTGTTTGAATAGAAGGAAAAGAAGTAAAATGTAGGGCGATCAATTACTTCATCTTCTTCCCTTGTTCAGACATACAAGGATGGAGGTTAAAAGGAAAAAAAAAAAAAAATCAGCCTGACTGCTTGTTACACCCTCCAGAAAGATGGATCAAAAATTGAAATAAAGGCCGTGCTTTCCTTCAGAAAACTCAATTGTCCTCCAAAATTAGTTGCCAAAAGAGATGGAAATATCACCAGAGAGGGTGTCTCATGTAAGATCATGACAAACATCATAAATATAGAGACAAATCTGAAAAGAGCACAAACCTTTTTCTGCAAAAGTTTTTTCCAGTTGAAGTCCACCTTTTCGTTTAATTCCCAGCCAAAATTCCTCGCATCCTACAAAACCAAAGCACTCAATTAATGGAACCAACTACCATTTAATACACCTTACTTCACCCAAAATGACAATAAAAGCAAATTAAATGCAAGCAAATTTCATCACAACCACACAGACCCAGGATAAAGGTCTCTGCATATGAAGGACAAATTTATTGGATACGAGGCAGCATCAGACAAATCAAAAATATCTAAAAACTCAAACGTTTATAGTTTTCACAATTTGAGAGGACATTCCAGACAAATCAATCATTAGCAAGGGGAAAGAGTGGGAAGGTCATTTCAGTGAGATATCAAATTTCAGTTCAAGTAGAACTTGATGCATCTGAAACTGATCAATTTCAGAACAGTATAACATGACAAGCCTATTAAAATATAGTCCAACATCCACAAACTCTCAGATAATCACGGAAGGCTCTCAATTGTTCATGAACTTTCTCTTTCAACTCCCATCTTTGCAACTTGAAAAGGGATAAGCTGCCATTTGATAAGGTTTCCACTAACATGTTCAGTAAATTGGTCATTTCATCCAGATATAGATCTTGTCCTTACCTCAATTTCACCTCCAAAGTTTGCTCCATAAACTAAAATCTTCTTCGGAACACAACCACGGATAACACACCTACAAAACCAAATGAAGACAAACCATTGATTTTAAGTTAGGACAACATTTCAGTCAATTCACATTCAGTAGAAATCATCCCTAACTTAAACAAAAACTTAAAAGTAACCATTCTTGAAGTTTTCAATAACAGCAAGAAACTTCCTTTACCATCCCCATGGGATATCAAGAGCATGTCTCGCCATTCAAAACTCATCAAATGTACATCAATTGACCATGAAAGTAAGAGTTCAAATGTACATCAATTGGCCATGAAAGTAAGAGTTCAGTATTTCTACTTAGAAATAATGTCAGCAAAAACTCATGTGTCATTGCTTAATATAGTTAAATAGTAACTACCATGCCAACCAAATCTCTTAATTAGTCAGACAAGTGACCCTACAGATAACCTTCCATTAAAGGTCATTTAATGTCAAAAGCAATTTTCCTTTGCTAAATTTTTCTGGAGTTCTCAAATAACTGTCAAAAGAACTCATTTAAACCATTAACTAATGAACATTTCAGCATTATGCCAACACAAGAAAAATCTCCCCCGCAAAAGGAGATAAACAGGAGCATTTCATTCCCACTTGAATAAAAACAAAGTAAAAATTAAAACGGACAAAAACAGAGATAGTGAGAGCTTAGACCACAAAATTAAGAGTTTAAATGAACTTACGTTCCACCAACCCCTCCAATTACTTCAGAGCTGATAGGATGAAATGGAAGTTCGCATATTCCAACCTTGAAACACAATGTTGGATGCCATTAGTGAGCAGTTAGCCATTATGCTTTCACAGAGAAAGAAATTATTAATATTGCCGAAAGCTAAAGTTTCTCACTTCACACAAAAAAAAGAACTTGCGAATCAGTTTGATACAAAGTTTCCCAAATGAATCAAAATGAGACAAGATTATGTTCATTCCATCAAACAACTGCCTTCATTTTTATTCTCACAAAATGAAAACCAACTCCCTTTACCTTTTCCAATAAAAAAATAATTAACCTGGTGAACAAAAAAACCACCAATCTATTTTCTTCTGTTCCCTGATATAGTGATTATAAAGCCATTGCTACTACATAATATCAAGGACGTTGAACTTCATTATATTATATGTCCTCAACAAAAGGAAAAAATAATAAGAAGAATTTTCTCATACCACATCAAAAATCCATGAAATGTTTTTATTATTATTATTATTATAATTATTTCCTCGAGATTGGTAACACATAGCATACCTTAGCTCCATAATTAGCAGAAAACCTAGCAGCGCGAACACCACCACTCCCCGCTCCAATAACAAACAAATCAAAATCAAAGTGAGCCTCTTCTTCTACCTGGTTAGTTTGATTCACTTCCCCATCAATAAGCATCTTTCTTGCCATGATTGTAAACTTGAATTTAACTGCATCCACACACAAAAATGAAATCCAGATCAACAGTATATTTAAATTATAAAAAATTGGAAAAGTACTTACTTTAAAGGCAATAAAAAGATTTTGAAACTATCTTAATGACTAAACTAAACTACACTGATCCCTCAAATGAAGAGCTATAACACTTAAAATCCGGCCAAAACCACAATAAAAAGAAAAATCAAACCTAAAGTGAAACAAAGAACTTAAATAATGAATAAAATAATCAAACTAGTGATATAATTAGTTAACAAATGAAATCAAATAAACCGCATCTAACAACAACGTCAACGCCGGACGAAGACAACAGGGAAGAGGAAAAAAAACGTCTGCAGTAGGCTCAGTTAAGCGAGTCTAAAAATTTTTTAAAAAATATATCGAAAAATTCGATATGCTTTTCTTTTTTTACATTTCCTTCATTTTCTCGATAAACGAAAGGAAAAATAAAAAATAAAGTCAAATAGATATACCTTTTCTGGAGACTTATTTGCGAATGAGAAGCAAGCAGAGGAGAGAGAGGGCTTATGAAAGTAGAGAGGAGAAAGGAATTTCGTTTATGTTTTATGGAGATCGTCCTTACATCCATATAAAGCTACACGACACGAGAGAGGTAAGTCAATAAATTATTAACAAGAGAAAGCACAGAGACACAAACAGGAGAGGACGCTTTCGATTTGATTTTGATTTTTGAAAGGGCGTCTGACCGTGAGTCTTCCTTTTTCACCCTATTGAACGGCAATTTTTATTAGATTATTTTGCTACGTGGAATATTTTTACTGTTTTCTTTTCTTTTCTTTTTCTTTGGTCTGCTTATAAGAGTAAATTATAAATTAGTCCCTTTTCTTTTTTAAAAACGAATTAATTAGTTTTTCTGACCTCAAAACCCAATCATTTAATTTTTTTATATTTTTTAATTTATTTTAATTTTTATTTTAAGAAATATAAAAGAAAAAATAATTAAAAATTATGAAAAATTTGATAAAAATATGATAAATTTTATTAAATAAAAAAATATATTAAATTAATTATGATTTATAGTAGTTAAAAGGATTAAACAATTAGGTTTTGAAACCAAAGAAACTAATTAATTTGTTTCTCTAAAATAAAGGGACTAATTTATAATTTACTTCCGATTATAGAAGAATTTTTTTCCGTACTCGATCTATTTTTAGAAAGAAAGATAAACACTCATTGCTCAGACCAGGAAAGATTATTTGATTTGCTTGTGAATATATTCATTTATTCAAAAAAAAAAAATGGCTGTAGTTGTGGATGGATTATGTGACACGTTCAACAGTGCATAAATATAGTTAAATGTTTATTTTAATAGAGATATAAAACCGATTATCTTCTAATAATTAAGTGATCTTCCATTCTCAAAAAATAATTACTTAATAACCGTAAACAAAATATCCAAATGAATAATCAAATGTGCCAAATTGAAGCTTTTAACTAATTAGGGCAAGGTGTAATTCGTCGTTGAGCAAAGATGCAGGAATTTTTCTTATCCAACACATGGCAGACTCTGAAGCCGGTAGCCACTTAGCGTTGATTGTTTTGCATTTTTTAATTAATAAATTTATTTAGTAATCATCTTTTGTCTAGAAAGAGTTTTTTTTAATATGCATGAGTGATTCTGATTTGCAGCATCTTTGTAAAATAATGAAGGTTAGTTTAAGAGTGGCATCGGAGATTAAGCGCACTTGGTGTGTCAGCTTTCAAATGTTTTTTAATAAAATATTTATAGTAATGGTTAAATTGATTGTATATAATTTTATTTTTTTCTATTTAAATGTATATATTTTAATATTTTCCATGTAAATGTTTATATTTTATCTAGTAGAAAATGGAGCATATCTATACTTGATCATATTTTATGAAATAGACTTTAATTAAGAATATATTAAGAAAATACATCATTTATATATGGATTGTGCACAAACATGAGTGGTTCTTAAATTGGATTCAAGTAAAATGCAAACTTGCGCGGCCATCCTATCAATTTATCTCTACTCATCCCATTCCAAATGTTTGATACATGAAGCAACATATTAAATTTTCATGCTATGTATCTCAAATTATTTTAAGCTAACAAGCTTCATACATCAATAAAGAGATATTAATATTCTCATGCAACTATTGTCACATGTATACGTTGTGAAAATAAAGGTTAGCCTTTTCATTTTGTGTGAAAAATGATTATAAATACAATGTCTAATATGAGCACAAACATTGCTCGAGAAAAGCATTATAAAAAAACTAGCTAAATAGCAATGAAAATCAACGACGGACATGAAGTTATTGACATATAGCGATGGATTAGCAAAAAATTAACAACCGTTACAAATTTTTGATATTTTGGGTTAATAACGATGAAAATTCAATGACAAAACACTACCATCATTGAATTACACAATAAATTTTTAACGAGTTAAGTCGACAACGAAATACTAACTAAATTACAATAAATTTTAACGATGGATGATGTCTTTCGTCACTAATGTTGGATGAGATATGGGAAGATGATTTAATGACTGACTTTAGTGATGGATAATGTATTTCGTCGCTAATTAAAAGAAAAAAGGGGCCTAATTTAAAATCAAACGAACAACAAAAACTTATGTTTAGCGATGGAATTGAGATACTAAGAAGTAAAAAAAAAAGACATTTCGAGAAATCAAACAACGATGAATGATTTTTTCGTCCCTACTTTTAGGATTTTAGCGACAAGTTATGTGTTATGTCGCTAATTAAGAGAAAAAAAATAGCCCAATTTAAAATCAAACGAGTGATGAGAACTTATCTTTAACGACGAAATTGAGTCTCGTTACTAAAAAATGAAAAAATGAGCATTTTAAAAAAATCAAACTATGATGGATGATGTTTTCCGTCGCTAATTTTAGGATTTAAGTAATGGATTTTGTTTTTTGTCGCTAATTGAGAGAAAAATGACCCAATTTAACATCAAACGTCTTCGAACACTTATTTTTTAGTGCTGGAATCAAATCCGTCGCTAAAAAATCCATAAATCCGGCAACTTATTCTTCCTCGATTTTCTCATCCTCACTCACTCTAGTTGCCCCTTTCCCCTTTCCTTCTTCATTAGTCGTGCACCTCCTTCCCCTTCATCTTCCGTTTTTCGACCCTTTTCCTCTTCTTTTTTTCTAAAACATTTATTCAATAATAACTAATATTTTGTTTTTCTTTTTTTTAGGGTGGATCTCTAGCAACCTCTTTTATTTCGATGTTCCAGCTTTTATTAGTTATTATTTATAGTTTAATGTATGTTATTTGATGTTAGTTAGTCATAAATCTAATTGTTATTGTTAATTAGTTGTGTTAATATAAGTTAATTTGTGTTACTCAATTAGTTGAGATTTTATTTTTATTTTTTTCTTATTTTTAATAATAGTTTTACATTTTAATTATTTATACTTCTATTAGTTAATTAGTAGTAATTAGTTGTTATTTATCGTATACTTATTTATGTCAATTAGTAATAAATGTAATAACTTAATTGTAATTAATATTTTTATTAGTTGTTAATTAGTTGTGATTATTAATTTTATTACTTTTTTTCTTAAGAAAAAAAAAAGAATTGTTGTATTAGTTAGTTTGTTTTTGGGTTATTTAATTAATGTGGCATACTTAATCTATTATTTTTATTTTGTTGCATCGATATCCTATAGAAAACTTTGGGAACCATAATATTCTCTTTAGAGGGTATTTTTATAGGTCCAGGTTTTTTTATTTACTTGTTTGTTTGTTTTTTTTATTTTAATTATAGTTAATATGTTATTTACATTTTATATCATTTAAGTATAGTTCTAATTAAATGTTATATTAAAGAATTTTGAAGTATTTGATCACCAATTAGGATGACATCTTGAGGATATCATAAGGGAATTTATTGAGAAGGTATAAGGTCGGTCTCAATTGTGTGTTGGTTTGGATATGTAGAAGAAAAAAATGAGGTCAAATCCTGCATTGATCGACTTTAGACGAGATACGGATGATGTAGTAGGCTGTTATGAGAAATGCAAACCCATATTGACGCGTCCATCCCTCATCCTTACCCCTTACTATCCAACGAGTTGTAGGATGATGACGGTGATTGTATGGACTAGCTATTTTTATAGCTTTTTTATTATTTTCATACACTTGAATGCATTTGTATATTTTTTATTTGATTTCATATTATTTTTATTTAACAAAATAATATTTTGTATTATAATTTTATTTTTAATTGTTTGCCGCTGTAATTAAATATGAAACAACTAATAACAATTTTTTTATAAAAAAATTACATTTCTTACATTAGCGGCGGATCAACGACAAAATAATGACATAAAAAATAAGTATACATGTCTTTTAACAATGAATTAACAACAAAAATTTACCGATGGTTAATCAACGATGGAAATTTATGTCGCTAATTTCATCACATTAGTGATGGGTGGACATTGATATAACAACAACTTTTATGTTGCTAAATCGGCGACAAAAATACATCAATTTATCAACACTTTGGTTATTGCTAAATTAGCGATGGAATAAATTTTTCGTTGCTAATAAGTTAGCAATAAGGCTTTTAATGATAGATTTTTTTCATCGCAAATCCATCTTTAAATGAAATTAATGATGGAATAAATTATTTTAGCGATCAATTTTTTCAATGTTAATTAGCTGTTTTTTTTTTTTTTGTAGTGGAAAAAATAAGCGTGAAAAGAGATTTACATAAAATGGATCAAGTTGAACAAAATAAAAATTTTATTATGTCCATTTTAATTGCACAACTCATCCATTTATTATTACCGATGTTGTTCATGATCATAGTAAAGCCAAGCAATCAAAATTTAATTTCTATTGCAATTATTGGGGGCACGGATTTGAGAATTAAAGTGCTTTGCAACAACATTCTCTCAAAACTTAAATTCTATTGTAATTATTGTGGAAACGCATTAGAGAATCAAAATGTTTTGGAACAACATATGAATGTTGATTGTGAACACAAACCTTGGGGTTGTTATTGAAATCATAGTTTATCTTTGCTATGATTCTTAAAATTAATTAGTAAATTGTTAGTTTTTATGATTCTATTTCGAATAATCATAGCAACTTCTATAGTTGCTTTTATGTTTTTTTTTTTTGAATAAATTATAGCAACCTATGATTTCCTTGGAGTATTTGGAATAAATAAATTATGTATGACAATGTGATGCTTGGAATAAATATACATGTAACAAAAATACAAAAAACTTAAACTAAAAAAAAAATCAAGGAATATAATATATGTTCACAACATAATGTTGAAATATGTTGATGTCAAACTTAAATGGTGGTATGGTGCTTTCATTAACTCTTTATTCAAAACATAAATATAAAAACAAACTTTAAACAAATGCAATACCGTTCTAGAAAAAAAAAAAGTAGAATGGTGTCCATTTAATCTCGTATAGGAATGACCCAAATTGGTGGTGGCCAAACAAGATTAAAATCGCATTTATAGTCAAACAGTGGCTCTATTTTTTTGCTATTCAACTCGGACACACCCATCTCAAAGCCTCCTTAGATTCCTTTATGGAGAGAAACAAACAAGTTGTCCGTGAACTATATGTTGTTTCTCTTCAATTCGGAAAACTCTAAAGATGATCTTGACATTAAGTGTTAAATATTACAAACAATACGAGCTTCTCCAATATCTTTAATTCTACACCAATCTTACAAACAATACAGACTTCTCTAATATCTTTAATTCTACACCACCCGAACAAGTAAAATCAAGCTTGAAAATATTTAAATTCATTATTTTGTGTAAAAATTTTCCTTCATGTTCAATACTCTTTCAAAGAGTACTTGTCATTCAATCAATGAAAGCTCGCCGGAAGACTTAACTAAATAAAGATGAGAAGTTAAGAAATAAGGACTCGATGGTTCTCTAACCTTAGGATACAAGGGAGCTATGTTTTTTGCCTTTCGATGAGGATGAATCTTAATGACTTGGACTAACTCATTAGAACCCAAAACATGAATATTTTCATTATAGAGTGTGACATCTAAAAACATATTCTATTTTTAGGAATAGAAGTCCATTTTTCCTCACCATTTTTCCAATAGGTCAATCGTTATACTTACCATAGATGGCCATAACTACGGAATCAGTTGTTAAGCTAGGATTTGATAATAGAAAAAACTTATCCGTTAAATAAATTCTTACATATCTTAAGTCAAGGATATAACTATTACCATTGTCATACCAAGAGTATACTCATTGTCACAATTATCGAGCACAATATTCTTTGACATTAAGAACCTTTAATCTATATGGAAATTGGATTTTAACTCTTGTGAGTGGGTTAGTAAGATATATTTTATCACCAAGGCCCTAAGACTAACTATCTAACCATGAGAAGATCCTCAAAATAATATATTTTTAGCCTTTGGTAATAGGAAGTCTTTTTGTCTAGTACATCGAATAATCCATAAGATTATTGACTAGCTTGAGGACATGGTACCAACAACTAAGATAGTTGATACTTTTCAATTGCATTTAAGAAATTCATTGAAAGATTCTCTAACTCGATTCATAGTTTTGATTATTGTAAACAAATATATGACAATATAAGATCGTCATCCTTTTCAATCATAATTTTAGAAAAGCTCTAGTCAATACTATAAATTTATTTACCATTAAAAGAATTCTTTACTATGAATCCAACATTTAAGACACATGATTTACAATCTACAACTAAGTCATCAATATCTAAAGTCTTTAATTTTAATTTATTGTCTATTAAACCTACGCACCTTAAAAATCCAAGACATGTTGCTAGTTTGTGCAATGCGGAGATATAACATATTTTCATATCAAGAATGATTAAAACATATTTAACGGGAACAAATAAAGCCCATGTTTGAAGAGAACTAATATAATTGCAGGACTAGTTTCAAAGTGTGTGTGTGTGTGTGTGAAAACCCTAGAGTTGCAAAAGTTGAAAGGATCGGTTAGTAATAAACAGGGAGGAAAGAATTCTTTACCTAGTCTTACCTTATTTCATATTACTTTCGTCTAAATTTTTTATTATTTTCACACACTTAAACACATTTGTATATATTTTATTTGATTTTATATTATTTTTATTTAACACAATAATATTTCATTTTACAATTTTATTTTTAATTGTTTCCTACTACAATTGAACATTAAACAACTAATAACAATTTTTTTTTTTACAAAACTTACAATTCATATATTAGCGATAGATCATCGACCAAATAAAGACACAAAAAATGAGTATGCATGTCTTTTAACGACGGATTAGCAATGAAAATCTACCGATGGTTAATCAACGATGGAAATTTATGCCACTAATTTCATCACATTAGCGATGGGTGGATGTTGATATAACGATAACTTTTACTTTGCTAAATTAGTGACGAAAATACATCAATTCATCGACACTTAGGTCGTTGCTAAATTAGCGATGGACTAAATTTTTCATGGCTAATAATTTAGCAACAAGGCTTTTAACGACAAATTTTTTTCATCATAAATCCATTTGAAATGAAATTAATGACGAGAATAAATTATTTTAGCGATCGATTTTTTCAATGTCGATTAGTCTGTCTTTTTTTGTAGTGGACAAAAATAAGTGTGAGTAGAGATTTATGTAAAATGGATCAAGTTGAACAAACTAAAAAATTTTATTGTGTCCATTCTAATTAAACAACCTATCCATTTATTAGTGCTGATGTTGTTCGCGATCATAGTAAAGCCAAACAATCAAAACTTAATTTCCATTACAATTATTGAGGACACACGTTTGAGAATCAAAATGTTTTAGAACAACATCCTCTCAAAACTTAAATTTTATTGCAATTATTGTAGAAACACATTAGAGAATCAAAATGCTTTGGAACAACATATGAATGTCGATTGTGAACACAAACCTTGGGGTTTGTTATTGAAATCATAAGTTATCTATGCTTTGATTCTTAAAAAATTAATTAGTCAATTGTTAGTTTTTATGTTTGTATTTTGAATAATTATAACAACTTCTATGATTTCTTTTATGTTTATGTGTGTGTGTGTGTTTTTTTTTAACTTGATCCATTTTATGTAAATCTCTTCTCATACTTATTTTTGTCCACTACAAAAAAAAAAAAAGACAACTAATCAAGCATTGAAAAAATCGAGTTGCTAAAATAATTTATTCCCTCATTAATTTCATTTAAAGATGGATTTGCGACGAAAAAAATATGTCGTTAAAATCCTTGTTGCTAAATTATTAGCAACAAAAAATTAAGTCAATCACTAATTTAGCAACAACCTAAGTGTCAATAAATTGATGTAATTTCATCACTAATTTAGCAAAGTAAAAGTTATCATTATATCAACGTCCATCCGTTGCTAGAGTGATGAAATTAGCGACATAAATTTCCATTATTGATTAACCATCAATAAATTTTTGTCACTAATTCATCGTTAAAAGACATACATACTCATTTTTTTCTGTCTTTATTTGGTCATTGATCTATCATTGATGTAGGAAATGTAATTTTTTTTAGAAAAAATCATTATTAGTTGGTTAATGTTTAATTGTAGTAGCAAACAATGAAAAATAAAATTGTAATATGAAATATTATTTTGTTAAATAAAAATGATATAAAATCAAATAAAAATATACAAATGCATTCAAGTGTATGAAAATAATAAAAAGCTTAGAGAAAAGTAATATATATATATATATATAATTTAAAACTAGGGTCTTACAATTATATTAGTTCTCTTAAAACATAGGCTCAATTTGTTCCCTTCAAATATGTTTTAATCATCCTTCATATGGACATATGATATATCCCCGCATTGAACAAACTAGCAACTTGTCTTGGATTTTTAAGATGCAAGGTTAAATAGACAATAAATTAAAATTAAAGACTTTAGCTATTAATGACCTAATTGTAGATTGTAAATCATGCGTCTTGAATGTTGAATTCATAGTAAAGAATTTTTTTAATGGTAAATAAATTTATAGTATTGACTAAAGCTTTTCTAAAATTATGATTGAAAAGGACGACAATCTTATATCGTCATATATTTGTTTACAATAATATTACATATATATGAGTTCCAAAAGTTGAAAGGATCAGTTAATAATAAATAGGGAAGAAAGAATTCTTTACCTAATCTTAGCTTATTTTATATTACTTTTCTCTAAACTTGGTGTGTTTTATGATAGCTTGTGACTTGCAACAAGTAGCCAACAAATCTTTAGGATTTATTATGCAATTTAGATTTTTTAATTAATAATTCAATTTTTTTTCCATAAATGGTTGTCCGATGAAAATCAAAATTGTAGCATCAACAATTATAAATTTGGTATGGTATATAGGAGGGGTAGAAATATATATATGTGTGTGTCTAAAAAAATAAGAAAATAGATTTTCTAAGACTGCAGAATAAAAAAAAAAAAAAAACCCATCTCTTATCACAAAATAAACAATTATTTGCATACCAAAAAAAGAATGGACGGAGCTTGTTATAAATTCCATAAGTTCTTGAATTTAGCTAGAGAAATTATGGTGTAAAAAATATTAAGATTGAATATTTATGTACACATATCTTACATGACGCGTGACTTATATATTTCGAAAACCACTAAAAGTTAGATTCATCAATTAAAGTTTGTTTTCGATTTCCGTTTTAATAAGAAGTCGGGGTTAGAATTTGAAAGTCGAACACAACTTATACTTGGAGTAAATTATAAATTAGTCCATCTAGTTCAAGAAACAAATTAATTAGTCCTTTTTATTTTAAAAACTATTTTTTAATCCTTTGAGTAGTGTTAACCATACTTAATTCGATATTAAGTTTATTCATCAAAAATGTATTTTTTTCTCATAAATCATTTCAAAATTTACATATTTTTTCCTTTGCCAATTGAGAAAGAGAAAATACTTGGCCAAGTTCTTCTACAAACGAACACACCCCCAAAAAAAAGAAGCTTTTTCTACACATAAACATTATGGATAATTTATTCTTTCAATTTATTAAGTTTCTAAAAAGCAAGGAATGTAAACAAAAAGAACAAGTAAAAAAAAACTACATTAGTGAACAAAAAGAAATCACATTCAGCGAGCAATGGTTCTCCGTAATAGTTTCAATTTTGATCGAAATGCAAAAATGAGAACTTGTTTTTGAAGAGAAAGAGAGAACCTTGAGTGACTAATTTATAACTTATTTATTCTTACTACGACCACACTTTGAGTGGGTTTTGAAACCCTATTTAGGAGTATATAAATATTGTAAGTGATAAAGATAAGATTTTAGAAGGAAGAGACAAATCAATTTCGGTAAAACACTATAAAAAAGATTAAGAAATAGCGACGGATATTAGTGACGGATTGAAGTCTATTGCTAAATAACGTCAAATTAACGAATGAATTACGATTGTTATCGAGATGTGGGTTTTAGCTATGGAACATCGACGGACTAGGGAAGGATTATCAACGATGGACTTTAGCTCGTCACTCGAATATGACGGCAAAATATCCATGAGGTATATTAGAGATGGTTTAACGAGGGAGTTAAAAAGAAAATAAGTGACATAATCACAATTTCGTCGTTGTTTTTGGATTTAGAGTTAACGATAGAATTTTCATCATTGATTTTATTTTTTTCCCACAAATTAGCAAATGAAATTCCATCGTTAATATTGAAAAAAAAGAGTGCAATCATCATTCAAAATCAACAACGGATACTTATGTTTGTTGCCGATTATCGATGGGATCGCATCCGTCGCTATTCCTAAATTCCTAAATCGGGATCCTCTTTCTTCTTCTCTATTTTTTTCTTCTTATTCCTCTCTTCCCTTTTGCAGTCGGCTACAATCCCCATCCAAAACACAAAACTCCACTCCTCCACTCATCGACAATCTACACCCACTTCAAACTCTTTTCTTCCTAAAAAGCCTTGAATTTCCTCCTCCCTCTCTATCTCTTTTGTCTTCTCCCCTATTTCGGAATGTAAGCTCTCTCATTTTCTCTCCCTCTCTCT